TTTATATTACTTTGAAAGGGATATTTTATGACTTATAAACGTTGCTAATCTAACTTGGTTAGTATTTATATGATATATCGTTATTTAACTGGCTGTAGTAAAAGGGGTGGAAGGGATTCCGGATTTCAAGATAGTGTGCGAAGATTATACTTCTCCCTTCATCACTTACACTTTTTGCTGTTTTTATTTGTGACGAACTAATATCTACTACTTTGAACTGGTTGTATTTCTACATGCGCAGTGTGCTTTCTAGTCAAAAAACGTATTTTTCGCCTTTTAGCACTGTCAATTATTGGCAATTGCTGCTCTATATCAGATGATTCCTTGAACTTGAGAAGTGAAGTGTTTCGTAATGAGTGTTTAACGTTCGTAATACTTCGTGTTACGTAATACTTCGTGTATGTAATTAATTTACATACACGTACGTATTTAATTATTATTAAATTTGAAGAATGGCAAGTGAATAAGGAAAAAACCAGAACTCTGAATGAAGTTAGAGAAAGGAAGCACTTGCGTATTCGTTTAAGCACATTTACCTTTTTGAGGTTACGACTAAAAATAAGATGTAGTTGAAGCTTTGTCAGAATTTTTGGAAGTAATTGAGAATGAACTTATGTTAGGATTAGAGAAAACGGTGAAGAACAGCTTACAGATCTTTTTACGTGCATTTTTGTGAATATTAGCTAAAAAGGGAACAAAATTGGGTACCTTGGCCAGCCGTTCGTTATTTGGATCTCATTCACCAGAATGTACTACTTCGGGCTACTACTTCACATTTGACGGATCTAACTATGGTCGCACTGGAAGTTCAACAATGGATTGGCGAGGGACGGGGGGGTGGATTTACTCGATCGCCCCGCTGTCGTGCACCTGCGCAAAGAATGCGACACGCCCTCTGGCGACGCCCGGCGGTGTCGTCAGTTGTCCGCCGCCCCCCGGCCGCCCCCGCCGCCCGCGCTGACGCCACTAAAACGCTTACCGTGTTCTCGCACTTGGAGGTCGGGGGCGACGGAAGCCTTGCAACGGGTGAAAGGTTGCGGTGGCTGGGGGCAATGGCGGCGGAGGCGGGGGCGGGGGCAGTTCCGGAGGCGGGGGCGGAGTGGTCTCGCCGGAGAGGTCAGCGCTACCGGAAGAGGGTCGAGGGGATTGGTGGCCGCCGAGGTGCCGCCAAGGAGAGTTCTCACTAGCGGGCGGCGTGGTGGGGGCTGGAGCGATGGAGGGGGTATAAATGGTGTTGACAGAATATTTTATTTGGCGCGGATTCCGACGAGTGTATATTCAAATAATACAAAATGACATTAGGCTCAAGAAGGAATATTAATATAGCGTTTGACGGAAACCGGTTTCTTAATTTTGGTTTCATATCGTTTTATTTCACAAACGGTGAGAGATTTGAATATCATTTTTTCGATATTTTTGTCCTAAATAAAAAAATGTGTAGTCGAAATTGGCAACTTGGAAGAGGCTATTATGAATACAATTCAATTGTAAAATATACTCGTTATGTCCAATATTATGTGAACCTAGAGAGGACAGGACATTTGAAAAGTTTTCTTTGTGAGTCTTACATTGGATTTTCCGTGGCGTATACGAATTTGTGGACATTACGTTGCAATTTGAAAAAAATTACAAATAGTATTTTAGAATAGACATCTGTATATTTATTAATAGACACCTGTGTGATAAAGTAAAACTCTCTAATTAATGTTCTTCTGAATATAAATGACTACTACTTCTACACTGCGCGAAACATCAGTACATAATCTCCCATTCAGTCCCTAGATACGAATAAACGATACACTTGTGATGGCACGGCACTAAATATGTATTTTATATCCTTGGGTTTATATAGTTACTTCATTATTATTTCAAGTAAATTTATAATTCTTATGAATGTAGTAAATATATTCAAGTTTAACTTTGTTTTCGAAAGAGCCTGTATTTCGTATTCTGGGATATGCGGGTAATAAGCGTTAAGTAATTTCATAATATCAATTACTTACCTGCATTAACATTAATTACACATTATTTTCAATGTTTCAAACTTACAAACCTTTTCTTCATAAACCGCAAGTCTGCTGTATTCAGTGTTGTTTTAGTAAAATATACTTCATATTGGTATATGTTGGAAAAAACTCTTTTACATCTATTTTCTTTGTTCAAGCTATTTCTATTTCTTTTAGAAATATAGCTTATATGATTAAATATTTCTCACATTCCAAACCCGTACGTTCCAATATACTTTTTGTTTCTCGAAATTCCCTAAAGTATGTTACTCCATCGATAAAAAACTGTTTACATTGTAATAGAAGAATTACTTAGTCTAATTTAATAGTATACTAAAGTGTCCCATGCCACAAACGGAAAAGAAAATTCCACTAGAACAATTAAAAATGTGTCTGTACTTTCTATACAGATAACACCTGATAAATTCTGTTTTCATCTTTAAATATGATCTGTTTCCTATCTTCCCAAAAATATAAAACATTCACATTCTCCAGAAAGTGATGCCCTTGTTGTAAATTTCTGAACATGTATAATTTTGAGTACAATTTTAAAGGAATATGGGTAAATAGTCTGAGAAATGTGCTTGGTTCAAAGTTTTAAAAAACGAAGTATAAGGTAGATTGAGTAAAAAAATGTAAAATATATAATTGTGTAATGTATCGTTTAGGATAAGGTATTAATAGCAGGATAATGTAAAAATTTATTCATAATAATTAGAGCATGCGTGCGTAGCAGAGGATCAAACGGGATTTAATTCTTTGTTTATTTCTGTTTTGCGTCAAAATGCCAGTTCTAAAAAACAAATTATTTTCATAAACTTTATCAGCCTCTACCCATATAACTACCCATATATTAATATGACACTGCAGAATCAATCGCGGAGAAAGCAATCATACAGATCATTTGTGTGGAAAGTATATTACTTGGAATACATTTAGAGAACATCACATTTGTTTCTTACGTCCTTTTCAAAGAATTCCATTTATCTCGCAAAACAGTCGACGCAATCGTAGACGTAGTCGACTGAGCATACGGCATGACAAACATAACGACTTTGGGTCAGTAACAGCCAAACTAGCCACAGCAAGCGTCCCGTACTCGTGAAAGTTCATATCTAGGTTTTGGTAAAACTGACTTATCGTTTTCATATATGTGAAGGGCATAAGTCAGGAGCAAGACGAGACACGCTTATTAACAGCCGGGGTATTGCTACGCTGCTACTGCCCAAACCCGCTCATATGTGATAGAAAACATTTTCTCTTATCTGTCATTATGGTGTTTGGCGCAGGTTTCATTCTCTCGACAAGTTACGAGATAAAAAGTCCTCACATTAAAATCATGACTATTTCGAATTCACATGCGGTTAATTTCGGCTGCAACTGGCATGACCTCACGAGAGCGTAAATCCCGGATCCTCTACTCAGCGGCACGCTGTTCAACGCGTGGGCGGGCGATCACGCCCACCCACGCGAAAGACTCCCGGGAGATACACAGAGCTGTTCTTTATTGTTCTTTTGACTTGGTCGCGGCGGCGCGCTATCTCTTTGGAACATCAACGCTGTCACACAAATCTTCTCTTATCTGCGCCTCCTCTCTCTCTCTCTCTTCTCCATCCCACTTTACGTGGCGCCACATAGCCCATGCAAGGACGTGTGAGCACGTTTCTAAATGTGTGTGTATATGTGTGTGTTTGTGGGTGGGTGGGAGCCCGTGATGTGTGATTTTGTGTCTCCTGCGGCATGTATGTTGACATAAATGTGTTCTTGTATGTATTTGTGCCACCTGCCTGTTGTAGAGTGTGTTGTGTGTCAGTGTGAAAGTGTGGCGGTGACACATGCATGTAGTATGTGTTTCCTGTGCGTTTAATTCACAAGTTAATGTGTAGAGTGTGACAAGTGCTCAGCGTTCTGCATGTCTGCTTGTGTTTGTGTGCGAATGTGAGTAAAGTACGCGACCAGTGATATCTTGTTTTGAAACAATGACGCAAACGTATACTAAACAGCGCGATTTAACGCTAACCACAGTACAGTAAAATGCAGTGGTGTTAAATGCGAGGTGAAATAACTTAAAACGCGGGTCCCGAAACGGTCTACTTTGCCCGCCAGCCACCAGAGCGCGTTGCTGCGACCGCCGCCGGGGCGAAGACGTGTTGGTGGTGATGGTGGTGGTGATGCTGCTGACCAGAATGGAGCGCTGGTGGCGGTCCCTTGCGGCGGCGGCGTCACGTGGTTAACTTAGTCGCCGGTCATCATCTCCATGAACTCTGCAAAACAAACAGTTGGTTCAGTTGCGAATTTGGGTAGTTAGCTGCAGTGGGCGAGATAAATTTACTAAATAGACTCATGAAACTAGACTGAGACATTTGAACTATGATTTTCAACACGTAATGTTTGTCTGCTTTTGGCATCTAATTTATTAATATTTGCCTAAGGTTCTGTGTTGCAAATTCGATCTAATTTCATTCGTATTGGCCAAAACGTAATTTTAGAGTGTTGATGAAGGCCGGTATATGCCAGATTAAATATTCGCAAATTCTATTGAATATTTCATTCTTGTCACAAACTATTTAGTTAACTTTTCTACTGATTCTGTAATATGGGGCTGATCCAAATCTGTCATAAATATTTTGAAAAATTGACAAGGGTTTTTAAACTACTTTCACGCACGTTAATACACGTTTCCAAAATGAATGAAAATTATCGTTAATATAAGTCGAAATAAATTAACATTGAAATACTTATTTTATATTTAAATATGAAATAATCCTCATTAGGCGATAAAGAAAGTAGAATAACGGAAGTCAACAAACTCGCATGTCTTTACTTCAAGTGGCAGATGAAAATAAACACATCCTATGCAAGCTTGTGGAAACTGCAGTGGTGCATAACTGTCGACTTCCGTTTTCGCCCATTATCCTCGCTCAAATGTCTCCGCCTTAAACACTGTTTTCTCACAATCTCCTATCCTTTGCGCTAGCTCAATTATCCCCGTTCCGCACTTCTCGCTAACATCCGCCAACTCCCCGCTCCGCAGATTCTGATCCCCCGATCATCACAACGCACTCCCAACTCTGTCTTTCCGTCAGGTTTTCTTACCCTTCCCACTCCCCACTCGGCACTCCTCACTCGCCCCTCCCCTCCCCCGCCACGCATTCTCCGTCCCGCACTTCCCCCACCACACCCTCTACTACGCACTTTGCGCAAAGCATTCCCCACTACGCGCCCACAGTTTCGTACTTCACCATCCGACCGATTTTACTTCCCGCTCTTCACTTTCCGCCCGTCACTCCCCACTCTTATCTCCAGGCTCTCGACATCCCGGTTTTCATTCCCCTCACTTCACTTTTCACTTCCCGCTCTTCAATTTTCGCTTTTCACTTCTTGCTCTCGACTTCACGCTCTTCACTCCCTGTTCTTCACTCCCCGCTCTTCACTCCCCGCTCTCGACATCCCGCTTTTCACTTTCCGCTTTTTACTTCTCGCACTTCACTTCCCGAACTTCACTTCCCGAACTTCACTTCCCGAACTTCACT